CTGCCCTTCCGTGGGCCAATGTAGCCAGGGAGGAAAGGTGTGTGAAATTCAGAAAAGAAATGACCACTCACTCTTTCATGGGATGTATATGATCAGCATAAGAAGGTGCTGATATTTAAGCATGTCTAGAAAAACGTATCTTCAAAATATTAATAAGCACCCCTTTCGAAATGCCCATATACTCAGTTGTCTACATGCCAATACATTTGTAAGTCGTTTGAATCATATAACTGGTCATTCAACAAATACTTATTTAATAACCAGGATGTGCCAAATACCATCCTGTGTGCTGGGGGCATACAAGTAGGGGAGAGAAAGGCAAAGACAACATTGCTGCCCTCAGACGCTCCCACTCCAGCAGGGAGAGAGACCCTGAAGGACGCACGGACGTGCACACGTATAAAGTATAGAATAGGGTGCGCTGGCAGGGGCCGCACGCGGGGAGAATGGTGCGGGGGAGGGGACAGGAAGTGCCGAGGAGGATGCGTTTTAATTGAGGTCTTGGGAGAGGCCCGCTGAGAAGGTACTGAGACTTGAAGGACTGTAAGGAGGAAGCCACGTGGAACAGCCCAAGAAAAGCACTGGAGAAAGGGACGCAGCGGGTATCCGGGACCCGCGTGCTGTGTCCTCGCGCACAAGGTCGGGGTGGGGGGGAGGTAACAACCGACTGAAAGGACAGCTGGAGAGGTCAGTGAGCAGCCTGAGCCCGCGCCAAAGCCGGTTCAGCCGAGGATGTTGGCTGTTGTTCTGCATGAGCTGGGGAGCTGAGGAGGCTTCGGAGGCAGGAGTGACACTTTGTCACGCGTTTTAGAGAATCGCTCTGCATAGGGAATGGGCCTCAGGGAGCCCATCGGGGGCCGGGCGGCCAGTTAGAAAGGCACTGAGAGCACACGAAGGAGGTGAGGCCGTCTCGGTACAGGACACGCAGGAGGGGATGGCTTTTGAAAGCACACACAGATTGTTAAGTAAGTTTTCCTTCCTCTTAGGTGACATATTTACATTGAGGGAAGAGGTTTTTTGTTTTTGTTTTTATCCTCACCTAAGGACATTTTTTTATTATTGATTTGAGAGAGAGAGAGAGAGAGAGAGAGAGAGACATCAATCAGTTGCCTCCTGTACACACCCCGACTGGGGACTGAACCTGCAACCTGAGTATGTGCTCTCACAAACTTTTGTTGTACAAGACAGTGCCCAACCCACTGAGCCCCCTGCTAGGGCAAGGTCAGGGGTTTTTTTTAATGAAGAAACTGAAAGGCAGGAGTGTATGAACTTCAGGAAAAGGGTGGGTTTGCATGGGGGCAGTTAGAAAAATGTGAACGTAGGGCAAAAGGAAGTTGCAGTCTGCCTAACACACAAAAACGGAGCATCTAGAAGGGAAAGACAGACGCAGGGAGGCAGGAGGAGCCCTTCACACCTAACTCGGCCACTCTGCGGGTTGTCTGGGGGCGTGTGAGAGCAACATTGATTAAAAAAGAAAGAAAATTCCAGTGCCTTAAGATTTTGTTCTTTTATTTTTTTAGAGAGGGGAAGGGAGGGGAAAAAGGGAGAAAAACATCAACGTGTGGTTGCCTCTCATGCGCCCCCTACTGGGGACCTGGCCCGCAACCGAGGGATGTGCTCTGACTGGGAATCAAACCGGCGACCCTTTGGTTCTCAGACCAGCACTCAATCCACTGAGCCACACCAGCCAGGGCAGCACTGGATTTTCCACTGTCTTTGGATGCCAGCGCCCCATCTAAACTGAGTATAGAGAGAGAGAGCTTAAGAAACAAAGAAGAAACCCACAGAAAAGAAATAGAGGAGAGAGAAGAGAATGAAAAGGTTTAAGAAGTAAAGAAAGATGAGCATGGAAGCTATTTTAATAGTGTCACAAGCAACTGGCCCAGCGCTGCCGGTGACACCCGCTGTCCCGGCAGCAAACATCTGACCAGGGCGTGCGAGAACATGGCTGAGCAAGGAGAAGAGGTTTCTAACTAAGCTGATTGGGCAAACCTGGGCATCGAGGGGACCGGCTGTACGTGTTCCAAACGTGATCACTGATATTTTTTGTAATCGTTGAATAAAGATTAAAATGCTTTACAGTATCACTAAATTATCTGAGATTGTTTTCAATTCCCTTTGTACTGTCATTTTCAGCTAGAAATGTAGAAAATACTTGAATATAAAAATCAGAACTGGAGGAAATTCAAATGCAAACTTCACTGGAATTTGACCAATCTGATCCACTGGACAGCTAAACTAGATAATTCAAGCGTCCAAATGGGTACCTTGCATCAACTAATTGTACAAAAATGCGTAATCCAGTTTGGATGGCCGACCCAATCAAGCACACCAGGTAATTGCAAAATTTCTCCCTTATTTGTGTGACGCAGATACAGCCCAGTCGTGCAGCAGCAGCGAATGGGATTACGTCGGTCGTGCAGTTTTCCACGTGTCAATTCTCAGCCTCTTCTCCTAACGACTTGTTTGAACAGAAGTGTGGTTTGCAACCCAGGGAGGAGGACACATGGACTTGGGCTGCTTGTTGCTCCCTTGCAGGCTCTTCCAGCTCTGTATGGCAGGGCACGTCCCTGTCATGATCCGAACGCCAGGCTGCGGGGTCCTTCCTTTTCTTCCTCCTCTCCCTGACACACATCTGGAAACCCACCAGCTTTTTTTCCCATCCAGCCGCTGAGGAGGCCTGGTTAGAGAGTCAGCACCAGGCAGCAATTCTGGGCAGGTTCCCTGCTCCCTCCCCAAGGTCTCTGCAGCCCCTCCCCCGCACACAGTGTGCCCCCTGCCACCTGGCACCGAGTTGGGACTGCACGAACGCCAGCCAGCCAGCGAGACAGTGCACAGGGACACCAGTGCCTGTGCCCATCCAACCACGCTACACACCCCCGCCACCTCTTCTCTGTCTCATGTGGGTCTTCAACCCTAAATCCCATTTGTTTCCTCCTCCCCATTACACAAATAGCTGCCTTATGGTAATAAAAATAGCCAACACATCAGTGTTTAATAACTGCCAGGCACTGTTTCATCCACTCTATATATTAGCTCATTTGATCCACATTCAAGCGCTATGCAATAGACACTATTATTGGCCATCTTTTATGGAGCGGGGAACAGAAGTACCATCGAGTAACTTGTTCAAGGTCACCACTCATGAGGAAGAACGCAAGGCCAGACGAGCTGGCTGCAGAGCCCGAGCTTGGACATCCTTTGCCCCAGCTGCCTCTCGGCAGCACCTGCTACAGTCATGTGCGCGCCTCCCAGCCTGGCCAACAGCTGAGGGGGCTCCTCTGCCGGCTGTTCTGTAGTGGTGGGATAGCGCGCATCCACTGCATGCGTGGAACTTGGACACAGCCTCTCTGCCCAGGGCCTGAGGGCCACAAGTGTGCCCCGTGGAGCTGTGATGGCAGAATCAGGAGCAGCGTTAATATTGCTAGAGTCCCCACGTCCTGCTCTCCCTCTGTTCTCAACAGCTGTGGAAACACCAGAGGAACTAAAGTACAGTTGTCATTTGCTGAATCCCTGGTCCAGTGGCCAAAAAAGGCACTGGATGATGTGTGGGTGTGGATTCGAAAGTCTGCTAAAAAGAGGCTTTCCAAGCTCCTGGGTTCGTTCTACCGCAGGTACTAATAGGCCAGGTACCAGGCCAGGTGCGGGGCCTCGGGGCCACTGTCTATTTCCGTGACATTCATTAGTTCTTGCTTTCATCCTTTGTTCTATTCACCCATTAATTCATTTGATTTTTATTAAGTACCTACTAGGGAGCATCAGGTAACGTGCTCAACTGGAAGATACCAAGTTGAAGTATCACCCTTGGGCTGCAGTTCCTCCGAACAGCTCAGGACGTTGCGTGGTGACTCCTTTTCTATGGCCATGACCTTGTCCACACAGGCTTAAAAAATAAGGAACTCCCGGAGACCAAACTTCTGCCTCTTAAGAAGCCATTTTAATATTAAACGACAGCCAGTACTTGCAAGGCTTCTCAGTTCGTGGCTTTTGTCTCTCTGACTTTTTGCAAAATCCTCCTCTTAAAACTTATTATTGTTCTTGCAGCAGGACAGGCGGGGTAGAGGGTGGATGTGGATATAGATGTCTCTGTATTTGTCCCCAAAGCAGTTTCTAGCTGAACCAGTTGGAGAAATTAATCCTTGAAGCCTGAATTTCCTTATTTGAAAGACGGGATAACAAAGTCTAATTTGAAGATGATAGTGAAGATTGAATGAAATGATGTGCACAGGGCACCTGTATGTAACAGATACTACGGGGCAGTGGAGGGGAGGAGAGAGAGGAGGGTGAGAGAAACGACGCTACGTGATTTCCGCAGGAGTGAAAATAACGGAAGAGTACGGTAACCTCCACGGCCACTGAACTGCCAGGACGATGGCTTCCTTCAAGGATCAAAGGGTTTGTTTTTTTTAAATTTTTATGTTTTTGGTTGCTTTGTTTGTGTCTTGACTTTGGACATCTTTGTAGTGAAGTACAAGAAACTTTTCTTTAATTTTAAGTTCTTTAATTATACTCTTTCTTGGCTTTCTGTTTTTCTTAGCTTAAATCTGATCCCCCATATTATTTGGGAATTTGTCTGTAGTTATTGTCCTCCCAACTCCTCCTGGGAATGTAGTGCTTTGTTTTAGCATGAGATGCTTCTTATTCTTTTTTTTTTTTTTTTAACATTTTGCCCCATTTGCTTTATCTTTTATGTTTGCACACTCTTCATTCTTCATTGTATTTATTCTTTCTCTCAATGCTTTTTTTTTTCCCCTCCATTTAAAAATACCTCTGGGATAAGAGATGAGCCCACATACAAAAGCCCTTCGGAAAGCCATGGTGACAATAAACTGAAAAAATGCACGGTTCTTTGTTTCAGAGGCAATTTTATGTTACGTAAACAGGACTTGAGGCCAGGAAACCACAAAGAAAAAGAGAAAGAAACATTAATATGTTTTATCCAACTTTCCGGAAAATATACATAAGATGACTAAATATGAGTTCAATAGCCAGCTCAGAGTATGATAGGAATCACTAAAGAACTGACTCAGAAAGACAGACTGCTTTCTCTTCCGGTCCCAGGTGCTCCGGGGGCTGCAGGCTTGGGAGCAGATAAGGCCGAGTCCAAGAACCCCGCCACACACGACCAGTGCCAAAAATGGCACCGAAATGGCATCAAGAAACCATAGTCACAAAGACGTCAATCTCTTCAGGGGTGGACCCCAAGTTCCTGAGAAACATGAGCTTTGCCAAGAAGCACAACGAGAAGGGCTTGAAGAAGATGCAGGCCAACAACGTCAAGGCCGTGGGCCCACATTCCGGGGCTATCAAGGCCCTCGTAAAGCCCAAGCAAGTCAAGCCAAGATCCCCAGGGCCATCAGCTGCAAAGCACAAGATCTGCCCACATCGCTGCCCCCAAGCCTGGGAAATGTGCTCATGCCGCATCACCAGGGGCCTGCGGCTCTGCCAGCCAAGGGCCAATGCCAAGGTTCAAACCAAGCCCCAGGCTGCAGATGCAGCTGCGGCTCGGGCTCTGGCTCAGGTGCAGGCTCAGGCACCCAAAGGTGCCCAGGCCCCCACGAGAGCTCCAGAGTCGAGGCCCCTGTCTGCCGACGCGAGGATGGAAGGGCACGTGTGACCGCTGGGCGGCTGCCTGGGCTATTTGTGCCAATGCACCTGAGGCAGGACCTGTCAAAAAGAAAAGGAAAGAAAGAAAGACTAAAGCACCCTGATCAGGTTTTCTGAGTGCTCCCGGGGGACACACTATAAAAAGATAAAATACAGTTAAGAAACCGCTAAAAATCCGGCCACTGAAAATATTTCAAGTTCAAATTCACCTTAGTAAGAATAACACAGGCCACCACGGTAAAGTGGGAAAAGGGATATAAAACTTTTATCTGCAGAAAGCCTTCAAAAAGATATGTAGAAATTTAGTACAAGGGGCTAGAAGGTGCCATGAGTAAAAATACGTGGCAGAGAAACAAGAGATTTTCGCTTTAGCAATGCATGAAAGGACTGTAACCAAGCCATGGGAAAACATTTCAGCGAGAAATCATGGGCTCTTGAAATACAGCTTCAGGATACAGGAGCAAAGGTAAAAGTCGTTCTCCTGACAAAACCCTAGTGAGAGATTAAAGACAGGGGAGAAGTGACATGAATACTAACCCCAGCAATGGCTGCTTCCTAGGGGAGGAAGAGGGAGAGAGGAGAGCCGGCTAGCCCTGGGAACCTGTTCCCGGAGAAACTGGCGACTGTTTCGCAGTGAGATGGCAGACATTAAAACCGCAGGCAAAAGGCTAGAAACTGATAAGGCAACATAAATGGGTACACCAGGTCTCGGTAATATATCATTATTATTACTAGATTAATAGCACACTGTTCCACTCTATCAAAACCTTTTGTACTAAAGGATCATATAAAAGGATCAATAAAACAACTCCTTAAAACAATAAAGCAAACATATTCCACATGTTTTAGAGGAAATGAAGAAAAAATTAGCTAAGATTTAAGCTTGTTTAGGTCTCTTTTGCCAGGTTAGATTAGTAAAAACTCAAAACAGAAGTAAACATTATTTTTCTAAAGGCTGGGAATTTAAAATCAAAGAAGGAGCTCAGGCAGTATGTACTGAAGATGGGGCAACTTTCTGGTTAATTTGTTTAATATGGAGAGCCTCCAAATTGTTTTCTTTTTTAACTTGTACTGTTAAAATTATCTTTGTCTAACATTAAGAATACACTGCCAAGTTTCCTCTTTGTGCTTTATGAATAACATAAGCATAGATATATAATTTAAGATTTTTCAGCAACATCTGTACCAATAAATTATGAAATATTGTACAAATATATATTAAATTCTGTATATACAAATAAGAGAAAAAAACTTAAAAATCTAAATCCTTTACATATACATATACATACATATAGGTAAGTTTTTATATATATACTTTATATATATATTTTTATATGTATAATTATCTATTGTTTACAAAAATCCCATACGGTAAATTTTATTATCATCCCTATCTGACAAGTAAGGACACAAAAGCCCCAAGATGAGAGTGAATTGCTCAAGATCACAGAGCCAGCAGCTTTGATTTGAATCTAAGCTGTCTGATGTTCCTGGTCTCTTAAGACTACATTGTGCAAAAAAAAAACCCAAAAAAGAAACCAAAAAAAACCCCACAAAAAACAAAAACAAAAAAAACACTGCTATGCAGCCATTAAACAAATGAGGAGGTCGACACACTTAGGAAATCACTGTCAAAAATATGAAAAGCTTGGCGTGAGAGCGAAGGCAGGCTTATCTCAGCGGACGGCGGGAGGAGGGCAGACCGAGGAAAGCCTTGCTTCCAAGATGAGCAGGGACCCTCTCAGGTGGGAAGACGGAGAGCGCTCTCTCGCAGAGATACAAACGCACGCGTGAGAGGGCAGCCTGCGTGTGGGGAGGGGAGGGTGACAAAAAGTTCATCCTCCCAAGTCCACGAAACTGGAGGATGTATATTCACTAGTTTATGTTTGCAAATCCACTGTAGACAAAATGACTTTTCAAGAAGCCAAATTTATCCTTTTTAATCTGAAGCCAAATCATGTATCCCCTTTGGCTGAAGTAGACTTTCATATTCACGTAGAGAGATTATATTGGTGGTACGCAGCAGGTATAAAATCGAGACAGCTAGAGTGACTAGCTGATCATTTTAAATCCCACACATCGTGACTTGACCAAAAAGCAAAATAGACAAAGTATTTGATTCAATTTAGTGGTCAGTCTAAACTGTATGGAGACAGAACATTAAAAAAATCAGGGTTTTGTGTTTTTTTTTTACATCCCATCTGTGAAATCCAGCTTCCCTGCCGAACACAGGTCTTTTTGTTTCCATTAAGCAGGTCTGTTTTTATAATCTGTTTTTAAATTATTTGAGCATTTTTAAAAAGAGCACAACACAGTCTATTTTCTAACAGAATCTTCCATGAAATAAGACGAGAAATGTCGGCGTCCATGCAATGAAGTAACTCCGTGTTACACAGGCAGGCTGGACTGCACAGCTCCCTGGGGGTCCCTCCCACCGGAAGGTGATTAGGGTCTCTTGTCTTCACTTGCAGATGTTGGATCGTATTCTCCCTGAAACAGGTTTCTTGAATGCTTTAAAACTTTCTCTAAGAAAAGAGTTAATGTTCAGTGTTCTGCTGCGTAACGGGTGTCCCAGATAAGCAGCAGTGGACGACCAGGTTTGAGGAGCCCCCGTCTGCCCCGCGCTGCCCGCGCACCCCAGCACCCCAGCACCCCACCCCGCAGGCTGCCCGCGGGACTTCTTTGACAGGCCCCTGAAGCGCCCGTGGGCCTTGGCCGCGGAACCCCGACCGCGCCTCTGGTTTCCTGCCCCCGCTCCCACCCCAGCGCCCTCAGCCCTTTGCCAGCCGTGATTTACTCACGGCTTCCTAGCGGATAGCACCCAGCACGGCCTTGTCAAGAACCGAAGCCCCTTGAAGAGCCAGCCGCTGCTCTTCCTCACGCCCACTGATAAGTTCGCAGGTATGGGCGCCAGGCAAGCCAGGGTCTCAATCGGGCTCCCCGGAGAGCCGGCAGCTTCTGCCACACTACACGTTCAGTCCCCCAACGTCCAAATGTTGGTTCCACAAGGCCCTCAGCTGACACGCTCTGTAGCGGAACACACAGTGATGATGAGAAAAACACAACAGCCTGCTTGATCTCCGGGGAAGACTGGGTTCTGGGGGTCCCCTCCTCCACTCTTCAGAGCGGCCCACAGGATTCAAGTGTCTCCCTACCTCCCCAGAACACCCCTGCCCCAGGCCGGCAGCAGCCACCGAGGGACTCCGGGACAGCCATCTTTCCAATGGGAGGGGACTCAATCAGAGCAAGGAACTGCCTATACAACTGACGGCAGGGCCCTAAGTTGCCACCATCCCCAAAGGGACCCTTCGATATTGCCTTTCCCAAGAAAAAAGAAGTCAGAAGGTTTGGTCCCTTCTAGACACCTGGAGAGCCTGAAAATAATCAACACCATGACAACTATGTTTTTAAACAGGGTGAGTGTTTCCGTGCATATACTCCAGTATAAAGCAGTACCATAGCTGGATGGTATTTTTTTTAGAATTATCTTGTATTTATTTCTGACCCTAAAGTCCAGGTTTCCCCTTCAGCCTCTTCTCTTGCATCAACTAGGGCCCCTCGTGTTTTTAGCATTGCCGTTAGAACATAAGTAAGAAGCTACAGCGCCCTCTCTTCGTTATACATTTATGTTTGCATAATACTCTTTAGTGAAATTAGACACACTCATGGGAGGACCCCACAAGGCCGATGACAAGAACAAAATCTAACAAATCCGATTTTCCCTTTCACTCATAGGACAATTAATTTTAAAAAATCAGATTATCTTGAAGAATTTCAAACAGAGGGCAATTTCCACCTCCTTTGAGAGGGAGAAATGATTACCTTGTGGCACATGCTACATTACATGAGCATTAACTGCAGGAATTTGTGTCGTTTCTGCACATGGGTAATAGACTCTTCCCCACTTTGTAAGAGTCACTTTACAAAGAAATCCGATGAAATTGCTTTAAGCTGTGCAATAAGGAATACCATACCTCTGAGTTTATGATAATTTAGCATGGGCTAAGTTATAGCCTTGTATGTTCTGTCAGAGCATACTCCATGTCTGTTTTATTTATTTTTCAAAATTTGCCTGGTCCCTAAACACCCAGGGACAGTGCCTTACACAACACTAAATACTGATGAATGAGTTAAAATAATTCATGTCCTTGAAAGGATTTGAGCTCAGTATGTTATATAACTTTGACTTCACCATTTCACAATTTATCTTCTTTGTAATTAGTCCAAATTCCCTGGAGTTTTTAACATATTTATATTTGAATTCTGTCTAACTATGGCATCATTAGCTGAGATAGAGTTCATTACTTGGGATTAATACCAGGAAATAGATTGGTAAATTCACTGTAATATGTTACTTTTATTTATGAATATCATCACACACAAAAAAATGTAAGTTTAAAGCAATTGAGAAAAACATATTGAAAAAAGGATAAACTGGAACAGACTCACCAGAAAATGTTAAACTATTTTGGTGGATTTTGGTTTTGTTAAATTCTTAAATATGTTTGGCCTAACACATTTCCCTTTAATTCCCTTAATATACTCTGTGGATTTCCACAGAAATGTGAACCGTATGTTTCTGATTCATTTATACTTAACTCATCAACATGTTTGGTAAAAACGATTTGAAGCACAGAGCCTTGTGAACAGCCTTTGTGGGCTCTTTTATTTTCGTTAGTAAACAACTGGAACCCGAACCCCGAAATCTTGGGGCTTCATTTAATACTCAAATTCCATAAAGAATGAGAGAGCTCTTAACTGGATCAGGCACACTCTGCCTTTGACTGCGCCTCGCTCCAAATCTCACAGCTGGGAGGAATTATTTGATAGTCCACTCTATTTCTTGTCACTTTTATTTTAGAGAATATAAGCCTTTGATGGCACAAAACATGCTGGAGACAGGACTCAGATGACAGCCCATCCGCTCTATCTGTTTACGCAGACCTCAGCAGGTGCGCCAACGGCCCCGTGGGTCCCGGGAGGCTGCCCGCCCAGGCATTTGGAGAGTAG